ATATAAGTGTCAGGAATTATTATTATTATTATTATTATTATTATTATTATTATTATTATTATTATTATTAGAAGTAGCAGTAGTTGTAGAATCCTAAGTATTTTTACACAAAACTTGAACTGGGCAATGCATATATTTAATTATCATGGAACAGGTTAATGGGCTATTATTCCCAGATAAACTAAAACAGAATAACTCCATTCACACACTTAAACTGTTAGCTGTTTTTTATTTATTTTCAAATCCAAATTGGGTCTATTTTTAAAAAAATCCATCTGTTGCAAATACGTCATTGTCTGATTTTAAGGATGTGGTATGATATAATTTTGTAATAGACCACTGGTCTGTTCATTTACTGCAGATTGAAAATCCTAAGAAAGAGATGAATAAATTGCTAGTCTTTTAAAGTAATTTTGTAGAAAGGTTTCAATTCTGGGTTGATTTTCACTTTTTTTTTGTTAACTGTTATACACTACAACTATAGTAAGGAAATAGCTACGGAAACTAATTTTGACCAACGTATATAACAAACCAAAAACAATAATATATCAAGTATAGTGCACTAGGAATATGGCTTACACCATTTATTTAAATAATGATAATATTACCCAAAAATTAACAGCAAAAACATGTTTTTAAATTATTCTTACCTTATCGTTTTGTAAAGGTATTTCTCCAAAAGTTCTTCTCGTATTCCTGGAAACAAACCAAAAACAAAATTAAACAAGATGAGTACTGCTGTTTTTCTTTCTCTCACTTTTGCCTTTTAAACTTTTAATACTGTATGAGTATATGGAAGAAGTTGTGAGACAACAATTTATCCAATTTCAATTAAATATACTGTCATTAACAAATAGGAAACAAGATTTTAATTGTTTTAAACCTTGACTTAAAAAATAACACTATTACATGTCCTTTTTAAATATGATCATGATTATTTTGTATATTGATCTAGACTAAATTACACTTTTTTATTTTCCATTGGCCTTTTAGTTCATATGTGAAATAGGCCCAAATACTTAATTTATTTATGACAAAAGTCATATTTTTGGACAACCTCATGAATAACTATTATAATAGACGCATGCACATCCACTTTTTAACATAAGTGAAACTGGAAAAGCAGATCCTACTTGTGCAAGATGTACCACACCATGAATGCTACAAACTTGTATTTAACTGTTCATTTTTAGTTACAAAGTATTGTTTTCCACTAATCTATAAAAATTCTAGGGGTTATTTTCTTCCCCACTAAATGGAAATGAATGGGGTCTAAGGCAACACATACCTCTCTGCTTTATTCCAGGCTTTCTGGGAGATGTGTATGATTCTCGTACTGTTGTGATATCTGCCACTTTAGATATCAGATCCACAGAGAGAATTCCTTTGTGCCCATATCTGTGCGTTTGAGCTTCACCAACATGTTCCTGTGATCCCAGATTGTCCAAGGGTGCTACTGCCCTCTGAAAAGATAGAGTGATATACAAAGTTGTGGATGAATGAGATTTCAAGCCTTAGCAGTCAGCAAAAAGAAGGAAATATTTCATTTTTTGGAATTAAGGAGATTTAACAATTCAGTTTTGTTATGGTGTAGGATATTGCAGCATCCTTATCGATTTAATTCTTTACATTTATTTAACAGAAATTCATACAAGTGATTGATATTTTTAATCGAACAATGCAGAGTAAGGTTTTATATTTGCAGACACACAACGAATAGGTGCATCTCCTCATTGCTATCTTTGAAATTCAATTTACCGCTTTTCGATTTACAGTTTCCAATGTAACTGTAATGTATGTATACAATAGAAAGTCTATAATGGATGTTTGGATGTCACCAGAGTTCTATGATCATTTAAGTTAAGAGAGTGCATCTGTCTTTCACAATAAAAGAAATATGAAGGGGAGTGTATACCTGATGCATAAAAGGCTATTTAGATAATTGAAGTGTTAGATACTGTACAGGTGCTGAATCAATTAAAATAT